AAAATAAAAATAAAAGGCTTGCTAAGGCATAAAATTTCAAAAGACACTTGATTGTACTATCAGCACCAGAACCTTCCTAGTTAGGAAACTTCTGGTTCAAAAGCATTGAATAAAGCCATCCTTTTTTTTCTGACTTCTCATTCTATAAAACTTGCTAAAATATATGAAAGCAAGAGGAAAATATGAAGAAGAAAGCTCCATTTTCATCACTAACAAGACTATTCCCCAACTCCAAATTTCACACTTGGAGGAGTATTAGGAACAGACTCACTCTAATAAGTGATTCTCAACCAATCAACAACAGTCTTACCTGAGAACCCTGTTTCTTAATCTGTCAGCAACCTCTAACATTCGGAAAGTCCCTAAACCCCTGAACTCCCAGTTTCCCAAATCCATGCATAAATAAGATCAAGAGTCCGCTCTGCTTTGTAAGATTGTGCCTGACCAACAAAGCTCTTCCTAACTGTTGTCACTCAATCAGCTTTGTCTTTTTATTTCAGATAGTGGGTGGAGCGGTGGTCTTGTCCTTCTACAAAACATAGAAATTCAATCCTGCCCATACCCTACACCAGAACAGCTTCACTCTTAGTTACTACATGTGTGCACGGTCAATATGTCCCTAGTAGTATCATTTGTAATAGTGTAAAACAGGAAACAACCCATATGTACATTAACAGTAGAATGGGAACAAATTATGGTATTTTTTGTTTAATGAAATACCCTACAAGAATGAGAACGAATAAAAGACAACCGAATACGTCAACTTAGATGACTCTCAAAAACATGATGGTGATTAGAAGAAAGGAAATCACAGAACAGTATGCAGTATATGTTTATAAAAACTTCAAATGCATGCTTGAATCAGGTACGCGTTTTAAATTATATCTCAAGATGAAACTTTCTAAAACGTTCAGATATAGGCTAATCTGAAGCATGTATTTAGGAACACGTACATATATAGTAAAACTATTCATATAAAGAAAAGCAAGAGAACAGTTGACACCATTTGTATTCTGGTCATCTCCAGGAGAGAGGAAGGGGATGTGGTCAGGGCGGGCACCTGGGCTTCAGAGGGGCTGACAGTGCGCCTGTAACCCAGGCACTGGGCACAGGTGTTCATTTAGTTGTTATCCTTTAAACTGTACATATATGTTTTATACATTTTATATTTTCCAGATTTTTATCTTTGAGTATTTCCACATTCACATATAATTTTATATGACAAAAAATTTTTAAATCAAGATACAGAGTGGAACCGAAGGAGATATAGCCACAAAAAAGCCTACAAATAAATCAGTGAATCCAGGAACTTTTAAAAAAAAAAGAAAATAGATAAATGGCTAGCTAGACTAATGAAGAAAAAAGAATCAAATAGACACACTTTGAAATGATAAAGAAGATATTACTACTGACTCCTCAGAAATAGAATCATCAGAGAATACTACTAACAGCTCTATACAAATAAACTAGAAAATCTAGGAGAAATGGATAAATTCCTAGACACATACACCCTCCCAAGACTGAACCAGGAAGAAGTTGAGTTCCTGAATGGACCAGAACAAGTTCTGAAATTGAGACAGTGATAAATAGCCTAGCAGCAAAAAAAGCCCAGGACCAGATGGACTTACAGCTGAATTCTACAASAGGCACAAAYWGGAGCTGGTYCCYTTTCTTCTGAAACTKTTCCAAACAATTGAAAAGGAGGGACTCRTGCCTAYCTCATTSTYTGAGGCCAGRYTCATCCTGATACCAAAAWTTGGCYGAAATACAACAACAAAAAGTGTCAGGCCAATATCGCTGATGAACAMTGATTCATCAGAAAGAACACAAATTTTATTGAGAACAAAAATTCTCAATAAAATATTGGCAAACAGAATCCAGAAGCACATCAAAAATCTTCTCTACCACAATCAGGTTGTCTTCATTCCTGGGATGCAAGGCTGGCTCAACATATGCAAATCGTTTTTTAAATAATAAAAAATATGCAATAAAAATTGTTTAAACATTTGTTGCATAAGTGAACGGAAGCAAGCTTACTGTATAGCATGTAATAGAACAAGTGCGTTCCTCTATAATTTAATGCTGGCAAAAAACTGAGCAATAAAGTTGAGGAAGCTTGAGGCTCAGAAAACGGAAGTCACATGTTCAGTGTCCCACGGCTGGTTGTGCCAAAGCCAAGGTCCGAATTCATATCCTTATATATTTTGTTACAGTGAATGATTCATTCATACACAGCCCCTCTCATATTTCAGAATTTGAAGCTCCACAATCAATATATCAGCTTCATTTTATTATCTTCTAAAATAAAGATGATGATTTCAACCTTCATAGGATTCTCATGAGAATTAATTCAAGTAGTATTTCTAAAGTAATTAAATGAGGCCAAGGACATATGAAACACTAAGGCCGGGTGCAGTGGCTCACACCTGTAATCCCAGCACTTTGGGAGACCGAGACAGGTGGATCACGAGGACAAGAGATCAAGACCATCCTAGCCAACATGGTGACACCCTATCTCTACTAAAAATACAACAATTAGTTGGGCATGGTGGTGAGGGCCTGTAGTCAGTCCCAGCTACTCAGGAGGCTGGGGCAGGAGAATCGCTTGAATCTGGGCAGTGGAGGTTGTAATGAGCTGAGATCCCACCCACACTCCAGCCTGGTGACAAAGCGAGACTCTCTTAAATAATTAATTAAAAATAAGTAAATTAAAACTCTTAATAAAGTTCACTGTCTCCTGCTTTCTCATATACTCTAAAAACAAATTCAATGTAAACTTCATTTCCTATGGAAGCCAATTATAACCCACAAGATACAATCCCAAAAGATCAAAATCATGAAACTAATTCTGGGAAAAGACATTTTAAAAAATGTTAAATGTATGCGTTTACCATTTCAAAATAGGATTTACCTGAGACTCATAAAAACATGACAGAACACTATACCCAATAAAATAGGCATAAATACATATTTTTGCAAGCATAAGCACTTGAGGATACTAACAACAGTCATATGACTATAACAGTGATGAGCAAATCATATTCATTAAAAAATAAAAAGGGAAATTTATAAATGCATACTGCTATTGTTGGAAATTGTGTGCACCCAGATTTAAATTTGCAGTTATCTGAAATACTGTGCTGCATGAGCCAAGTCTTTTGATGGGATCCGTTAAAAACCACAGTGAATCACAGTCATAACATAGATATTCAAAGATCCGAGATCTTGAGAAATTTAATCTTTCACAAATGCACATGTGCGAAAGAAACATCTCTCCATTTACAGAAGATGTTTCGACATTTTTCTATGTGGCACTGCTCTTTTAAATAGGCACAATGTTTACACACAAAGTCATTGTTGTGATAATATACTTTTGTGAAGTCAAATTTGCAAAAACCTATCCAATGAATTAGAACTTTCTGAAAGTCTCTACACAACTTATACCTCCAGTATTGCAAATGATGCTGTAAGGTTTATTGCCAAGTTTAAAATGAGGGAACTGAGGCCAATATAAGAAAATGAAAATCCAATTTATTCATCTCTGGGGCGAGGGTCCATGGTCCCGGGGAAAGGCGCTAGGGAAGTTGCGCCAACTTCCTGGGGCGTAGGGTTTTTATAGGTAGGAGGAATGAGCAACAGCTGGGTGCTCTGATTGACTCCAGGGGAGCGGGATTGAGACGGGGCGGGTTTTCCGGTGGGAGAACCGGCCAGGAGCCTTTCATCAGCTGGAGCCTTCCAAGGGAGCCATGTGGCAAAGATAGGTGCCAAGTGCAGAGCCTGGTGCTGGGTGCAGAGGTGGGCGTGTCCAACCTCCTGGCAAGGCAACTGGCCTTGCAGATGCAAAGATGAAATACATAGTATAGTGAATTGTAAACAATGCTGAAAATTTTAAAGAGAACTTGAAAAAAACTGAAAAGAAAGTTTGACATAAGAAAAAGTATATTACAGGAATAGATTGTAGGTATTATGCAAAGACAGTCCATAAGAAATGACTGACTTTCATCAGCATTTACTATATTTTGAAATCTTGTATTTCAATGAATAACTGCCTTTTTTCCTTTAGGACATGGCTTTTCTCAGAGCACATGTTCACCTTCATTTTCCCTGTGGCACTGCTCTTTTAAAATTTCTTTTATGATTCTGTATAAACAACATAAGCCTTCCCTATTAAGTTTTCCCATCTTGGACCCCATGCTTCCATGTTGTTTTGGGTGCATAGAAGTCCATTGTCAGAAACAACACTGGTATAAAATTGTTGCATGTCTTCTCATCCTACCGTGCACATAAGTATTTCTAACCGGGGCATAACTTCACTGGCTTCTTGAGGCAAATGCGGCTTTAATTCATTAAAAGCTCCTGAAATGTAATCAGTTGGAAGGAATGCTAATGTAGGCAACCGATGCCTTTTTAAACTGAAGTTTTCATCATTGTCATATCGCATGAGCAATCCACTCATCTGAAATTTTCACCAATTGCTTCTCTTTAAACCACACTGAATTTCCAAATAGAGACACTAACAAGGTAATAATTCCGCCTAACATGATGCAATTATCATGTTATTGTGATTTTCAGGATTTTTAGATGTGAGAGATTTTAGTCTTTAAGGATTTGGACTTTAGGGATTGTGTCTTTCAGAATTAAGATCCAAAACTGTTTCCAATATTCTGTGGTTGGAGTAGGTTACTGAAACCAGCAGAAGATCTCATAATAAAGTGACCTTGTTTTAGGGCAAATTCTAGAGGCCCCATATACGAAATGGGATGTGTATCTCAAAAAGACTCTGAGGTCCATGTTCTGATTTGGAGGCCCTTGCTGTGTCATTAATAAAGATTAAAGATGTTTACATCCCTGTCGTGGGTAGGCAGACATTTTCCCCTGTCAATTGTTTTTCCTGTTCTGTTATTTCTTTCTGGTAAGCCACTGGCCAAAGAAATCATTACCTTTTCTTGTGTCAAAGCGAATCGTAGGCAGGTGGATCACCTGGGATCAGGAGTTTGAGACCAGCCTGGCCAGCATGGTGAGGCCCTGTTTCTACTAAAAATACAAAAATTAGCCTGGCATGGTTGTATGCACCTGTGATCCCAGCTACTTGGAAGGCTGCAACAGGAATCGCTTGAACCTGTGAGGTGGAGGTTGCAGTGTGCCGAGATCGCACCACTTAACTCCAGCCTGGGTGACAGACTGAGGATCTGTTTCACAAAAAATAAGCGTCTCTGTTATTACGAGAGCAATTCTGTCTCCTGTTCAGCCTGATCCATAAGCTTAGAAGTAGTCTTTTTCAGTGTCCACACTCAGTGTTCTGTAGAAACTGAAGAAATAATTCAAGCAATGAAAGTAAGCTGGAAAGAAAATAGCTAATTGTGTCTTTCATTGACAGCTTGCCTATTGATTTGTAAGACATAGCTATGTTGATTGTTCTAATTAGAGAGGCAATATATTCTTATTGCAAGCATTACCCCAACATGCAAGAAAGTGTAAAACAAATTCCCACTAATGTTTTTTGTGTATGTATTTTTCTTTTTCTTTTTTAATAGAGATGGGGCTTCACCATGTTGGTCAGGCTGGTCTGGAACTCCTGACCTCAGGTGATCCGCCAGCCTTGGCCTCCCAACATGCTGGTATTACAGGCGTGAGCCACCGCGCCCGGCCCTTTTTCTTTTTAACTTGTCTCTAGCGTCAGGAAAATATCAGTGGTTTATTAAATGTGCACTATCTTCAACTGAGCACAGAACTAAAAGTAAAATGCAAGAAAAGAGTAAAGACTTGACTAGAATGTTAAATTACAGAACAGTTAAAGTATTTGACATGTCTGGCTGCTTTCATTTGGATAAAATTTACATAACAGCGTTTGGTTTTAGTTACCTGTGGGAATAATAGGTGAGAGAGCATGGAAATCAGAAATCTCTTCAGTATCTTTGATTATTTGATTTGCAGTTTGGAAGCCTTTGTCAAAAGGATGGAGCCCAAGTGCTTTGCAAAGCATTACTGGTTGGGTGTCCTGACTAAACAGGTGGGGATCCTTCCGTCTGTCCTCCTCCTCCTGTGTTTCAATGGAAAGAGCCTACCCAGAAATAGCAGCATGTACTAGGCCATTGACTTGTTAACCGAATTCAGAAACATGAAGAAAGTCCAGAACCACCCTACTAAGGCCTGCATACTCGTGATCAGAGGAAGAAGGCATGAAATCCACACGTTTTGGCCAGTGGGAGCCTTAGCTTAATAATGAGTCCACATTTGGTGCCTTCCATTTCTAACTTGAAAATGCAAAGTAAACATTGGAGTCATCGCATTCTACACATCCCCATCCCCCTTCACACACACACACACACACACACACACACACACACACACACCCTCTGTGCTGACTGAGAAAGAGTGCAAATAATTACAAGTATGAGAGATTAGTCATCACCACTTTGGGAAGTGAAATAAAAGGGAATTTGATGGTAATAGTAATTTTAAGATAGGAGATTATTTGTAAGTTTTCTAATGAATGGGGTGTGTCTATAGCCATAGCACCCTGAACATACCCGATCTGATGTATGGGGTGGCTGACTTATCCTACAAGACAGGAACCTAAATAAACATTCTCCAATAAGTCCTTTCCTTTGTTGTTGATAGAATAATGCATGGGACAGGTTATAATGATTACAACAGAGTGGGCATTTGGTTTGATTTGCTTTAAATTAAGCTGCAGGCTGCTGAAGGTGAAACGTACACATACAATACAACTTCATATTGCGCCGAATGCAGTATTTCAAGGTTTG